CTCTGAATGAAGAAATGGGGTGTATGTCTATTTCCTCTCCCTTTAGCTTTGCTCAAAGAGCAGAAAAGCTGGAAATAGAAAATAAATAAAAGACACACACAAAAAATTGGAATGAAACAATAAAATTACTGTTAGACACAGTGATAGAAAAAGAGCTCGCTCAAATTCTATGTGCACTTTTCAACTTGGACTAGACAAGGATAAATGTCTTTTCTTTCAGTACAGTACACTTTGCAGCATATAAATCAGATACAGAGTAGCAAGCACTTGTTCTGTAGACTAAACTGCCTTCTGTAAAGTTTAACGCAATGAAAGTCAAGATCAGACTGTACTCCTGTGCAAGCCCAGCATATCCTAGTCCTCTCTCTCTCTCTCTCTCTCTCTCTCTCTCTCTCTCTGTCTCCCTCAGCATCCGAGTTTCATTCACCATTTGAGTTGGCCTGGGGAACATATAACACCAATAGCAAACAGCTGCCTGAACAATGCAGATCAATAGTTTCGTCACCAGAAACTGTTTTGTTTGGCTTTTTAAAAGTAGCTTGTTATTTGAAAGCTAAGTGAATTTGGAACTCAATCAGATAATGGAATTAAATTTATGCGAGGCAGCTGGTAAATGTGCTTTCTCTTTTACTGTTGGAGAACTTGAGTCAGCTGAGAAGATTGATGGCTTATCATATTTAGGGAGAAGCTGTGTATCCACAAATCACACCATAATTTGAATAGCTCAAAGTGAAGTAAAAATAAATGCCAGGTCTGCCAATTCTCCAGTGATGGATTACAAAATTACATCAACAAAATCAAAGGACAAATCAGATTGATGAAATAAATATAATGGGCCAGATCCTCAGTTAGTGTAAAAGAGCATCATTCTACTGACTAGGGATCTAGATTATTAATAATGTGGAATGCAGTGAATTTATTTTTGACAATTGAACTTTTAATTCTGCAGAGAGTAATACTTACATGGCCTATATCTGAAGGAACCACATTCCTTTGTGGTTGTGCTTCTTTTCCATTTTCACCTTCTTTTCACTCGACCATTCTTCAGAAAACTTTATTTACTTTTTTTTTTATATATATACATTTTATTTTTTTCTTCCATGGCCACCTTTCAGCACAGCAATTTTTCATTCCTCTCTGGTAGAATGGAAGCTCTTAGAGTGTGTCTAGACTACAGGGGTTTTTTTCAAAAAAAGTGGACTATTTATGAAAAAACTGTACCTGCGTCTAGACTGCCACCATGTTCTTTTGAAACTAAACCTCATTTTACGAGGAAAAATGCCTTTTTTTGAAAGTGCTCTTTTGAAAAATGGTGTTCTTCAATGCAAACAGGGCTTTTTTGAAAGAGAGCATCCAGACTGCCTGGGTGCTCTCTTTTGAAAAAGCGTCTCACTTTTTCGAAAGAAGTGGTTGCAGTCTAGATGCTCTCCTTCAAAAGAAGCTTTTTCGAAAGATTCTTTCAAAAAAGCCTCTTTCAAAAGAGGCTTGTAGTCTAGACATAGCCTTGGCTACCATTTACAGTGAAGCCTAATTCATTATTAGCCAGTTTTGGAATATGCAAGTGGCAAATATGAAGTACAGTCAGCAAACCCTGCTCCAGAGCCAGGTGGATTATATATGGTTAATATAGCTCTCCCGGTTAGCAAATTCCTGGTTCCAAATCACAACCATTTGGCCTATGGCATTTACTTTTTAATCATATCTACCAGGAGTACACAATGGCCTAGATCACATGGTACAAATGCAAAATTTCCTTAATTTCACTAACATGCATGTTAGAAAGCGTTTCAGTTTTCTCTGTGCCATGTTAAGATGTTTCTGTTTTATTCATTTTCATTTTTTCTCCTACTCATATAATTTTAAGCCTACATTTGAAAGCAACTTTAACTGACCATGTTATAATGGCTCAGCAGGGGGCATGTGATCTAACCACTTAAATAAAAGTGATGAGGAGAAAGACATTAATTATCTCAGGGCTGAGGAACCATTATCTTTTCATTCCACAAACAAAGGGGATATTTGACTCCCAGCAGACTGCTGGTAAGATGCCTTTGAATTGAATTAAGATGCACCTAACACACAATGGAGGAACATACTATGCTAAAGTGGTGAGGTAATTTAAAAACCCACCTATGCGGTAGCTACATGCAGGGTCATGTGCCTATTATGTTAGAGACCAACAAGGATGTGCTGAAAAAAGCTTAGGGATGGGGAGATGGTGTGTGTTAGTGCTCTTTGTAATCCAGAAACAATGACTTCCGTCTGAGTTTCAAAGATCTAAATTCAATTTAAAGGAAAGAATGGGCTATAAATGTTAATACATGTCTTTACCACTTCCTTTGTAACTAAGCTTCTTGCCCCATTACTGAAACCATTTAGCTAGTTCTCAGTATTTTTTGGTATAATTTACTTTCACTTTCCATATTTTCTCTATTGTGCTTTGCTTTGTATGATGTATAAGATAAATAAAGTGTATAACCATATTCTCCAGACTGCATGGTTCAAGGAAATTCACTCTGAGGCATCTTGAAAGCTGATTTGCAGACTATGGGTATGTCTACACTTGCTCCCTAGTCCGAACTAGGGAGGCAAATGAAGCATACCGAAGTTGCTAATGAAGCGCGGGATTTAAATATCCCGTGCTTGATTAGCATATTCACAGCCGGTTGCCATTTTAAAAAGCCAGAGGCCTGAATTAACTCGCCGTGTGGAGAAGCAGTAGTCTGATCCAAATCCCTTCCCTCAAATTAACTGTTACTCCTCATGCAATGAGGAGTACCAGTTAATTTGAGGGAAGGGATTTGGATCAGACTACTGCTTCTCCACACGGCGAGTTAATTCAGGCCTCTGGCTTTTTAAAATGGCAACCGGCTGTGAATATGCTAATCAAGCACGGGATATTTAAATCCCGCGCTTCATTAGCAACTTCGGTATGCTTCATTTGCCTCCCTAGTGCGAACTAGGGGGCAAGTGTAGACATACCCTATGTCCCTGACAGCAGATCTCCAAAACCCTTTTTGGATTATTAGATGGGATTAGGATCAGCTAAAGTGTCCTCCCTCATTTAAATCTATACCAAACCAGGGAGGTCATTCCACCATGACATAGCCTTGGGCATCCATTAAAGTTTTCTAGCTGCTTCTTAAATATGAGCATGGAACAAATGTCAACATGTAGAAAAGAAGGGTGTATGATATTTATTGTTTTAGTGTATGTGCCCACAAACAGGGATTAAAGGCCTACTCTATTAGGCACTATTCCAACAATTAAGAAAATGACAGTTTAATCAGAAAATTTGTGCTCTAGGTTTCTCCTATTGCGGGTCTACACTACAAATGTACAGTGGTGTAGCTGCACTGCTTTAGCACTTCTGGTGAAGATACTGTTAGGGTACCACTGCACAGCAAAACTAAAGTCGAAATAAGCTACCCAACTTCAGCTACGTCAATTGCACAGCTGAAGTTGAAATAGCTTAATTCAGCTTTTGGACATGTCTACACAGCAGGAAATCAAAGGAAGAACGTTCTTCCTTCAACTTCCCTTACTTCTTGTGAAATGAGTGTTATCATGAATTGGGGTAAGAAATCCTTCAGCTCTACATTATTTCAGAATAACCGCTTGTAATGTAGATGCATATTTTGTTATTTTGGAATAACGTCAGTTATTCAGAAACAATGCTGCTGTGTAGACATAACTTAGGAGAACATTGATAGAGTACGTTTAATAACTGTACCTATTCCTCCCACCAACATAGTGCTGTCTATACCAATGTTTCTGCCTTCACGTGTTTATTTTGAAAATAATTTTGTATTTCCATTCACAGTCAGGGTGAATCTCCCTCTTGCTCTAAGGTTTCTTTTTACTTGCAAGTGATTTTGATTGTTTGTTGTTACCGCTGGCGGTTTCTCAATTAAAATCCTAGTATTTCACAATGCTAAACAATTGACTCTGCATTGCAGCACTGGAAAAATAGCTTAGGGGAAAATCTTCCACCTGCCCAAATGGGCCAATATTGTGACTTATTATCTAGCAGTGATTAATTTTTACTCCAAGTCTACAAAACATTTTTAGTTTAAACATAAAATATTACCCAGACTTGCAGCTTTCCATTACTATGAATATTATATGATTGGTTTGTTTTAACTCCAAACTTGATTTAAAAGGCATAATGATACTTTATGTTAATCTTCTGTAGATAATTTATATTTTAATCTTTATGAATAAAAATCCTGTAAGATACATGATTTATGTAGCAAGATTTCAGGTTTGAGGTGAGAGATAATTGCAAAGAGCAGAGAATCTTATGTCACAGGTTATAATGAAGCTACAGTAGTTCACAGAAGGGAATGTGGTAAATGATTAATATTTGTATATTGAAGTCAATGGGGTGGCATGGGTGTAAGTGAAGGTAAATTCTGACTTTCAATCAGTTGTTTTAATTATAGATTCCTGGCTTGCTTAGAAAAGAAATATAGCACAGTGAATTCATTATGACTTTTTAAACTAAGTTTGGAGTTAAAGCAAACAATCATATAAAAGCAAAATGCAGTCAATCTGCATTTGTGTGACAGCTAAACGAATATCATGTGTTTGACACAAAATCACAAACGTGCTCATGTTTGACCTAATTCGGACCAAGATTTGCTTGAAGTAGTAGCCAAACTTCTGAAGGACTTGGTCTTAACTTTAAGTTTATAGCCAAATTCAAAATCTGTCACATTTGAGTTTTTATGTTAAGGAATTTGCATTCCTTACAAATTGCATCATTTAGGATTTTGAAATGCTTCCTTCCTAGATATTAGGAACTGATAAAAATGATCTTCGGCATATTACCTATTTCCCCATATACCTAGAAGACATTACGTGGATATATCATTTTTTCCAAAACACTCTGACAGCTGATATAGTATGTAAAATTTATGTAATGGTTTTCCAGGAAGGAATGACCCATTAATCTTTTTTCTCTCCATCCCCTTCCCCTCCCTTTTTCTGGTGTTAAGCTTCATTCTGACTTGGACAAGGGAGTGGGCACTGTTAAGTATACCCTCTCGGGTGATGGAGCTGGCACGGTGTTTACCATTGATGAGACCACAGGGGACATACACGCCATAAGGAGCCTTGATCGAGAGGAAAAACCTTTCTACACACTCCGTGCTCAGGCTGTGGATATAGACACCAGAAAACCACTGGAGCCTGAATCAGAGTTCATCATAAAAGTGCAGGACATTAATGATAATGAGCCAAAGTTCCTAGATGGGCCATATGTTGCCAGTGTTCCAGAAATGTCTCCAGTGGGTGAGTAGGAAACAAATCTCTTGATAACTAACTAGATCCTATTTAATTGTTTTCATTGTCAATACTATTGAGCATGCTGAAGGGAAAATTTAGTTCCAAGAATACATGATTAGTACACTGAAAATGGCTGGATTTGTACTTAGAAATATACAGATTTCAATTTTATTTTAGCATTAGGTTCTTACCCTCTGGTGTCCTCTCTACCCCATTGTTAATGCATAAATGACTATCAAGGAATGTAAGCCTGCACTAAGTAGAATTTGGGGCAAGTATGCTTAGTGGCTGTTCAGCAGCAGGAGCCAAGATGACTCAAATAAAATGGTTCCATGGACTTTGTGAGGAAAGCAAAGAAGAAGGATATTTTGCACATTGTAACGTGCTCTCTCCTTGCACCAGCTCAGTTGTTTAGGAAAGACAACATTGGCCTATCTCCTATTCCTCCTCCATACAGCAGTGCTAGATTCACAGTCTTTGTGCTCAGGCTGATTATAACGGGTGCCTGTGCCTTGATACAATGGGTGTAAGAAGATGGGTGTCTGGTCCCACTATTTTGAGCATCCGCTGGAACATACACAGTCTGGCTTTCAAATGGCCATAAAATATGCTCACATCATGCTCAGCTGTCCACTCACCCTGAGAACAGAAACAAGGACTTCGATTCAAACAAGAAGAAACAATTTATCTCCCACACTAGCAACAGTTTTCTTAGTTCTGATTTATGGAGCAGGGGCAGTAGCTTTTAATATCAGTGTCTTGGGTGCCTGGTCACTGCTGTTTATTACCCAGTCTTCACTCACTTCAAAACTGCTTCCTCTTTTTCTAGTACATTGACAAATCTGAGATCCTCATTGCCTCCTAGGCTCTAATTTAAAACTGCAGGTATGAACAACTGTGTTGGCTTTCTAGTTCTGAAACCCGAAAGGTCTTTTCCTGGTCCTCTAATCAAACATCACATTTTATGTACGCTAGATAGACTATCATGGGGGCAAAAATAGATTAAACAGCTACATACATTGCCATATGGAATTAACTAGGATGTATGTGAAATATGTATATGTGATATGATCAGGCACTCAGAAATCATGTTCTCATACGAACCTAACAAGTGGGTTCAGAGAAGTTCATTAAATTATAACATGCAAATGCAGTTGAATTAGCAATAGAAAGGGCGGGTTAAATTTTTGAATTCATTCTTCTAGTGAGTGCAAAATATAATTCCTCTGAGAGGATGTATCATATCTTAAATGGATGTTAAGAGGACACATGATCTTACACAAAAAGACCAAAAGAAATGATCATTCAATAAGGCTACGTCTACACTGGCCCCTTTTCCGGAAGGGGCATGTAAATTTCACCAGTCGTCGTAGGGAAATCCGCGGGGGATTTAAATATCCCCCGCGGCATTTAAATAAAAATGTCCGCCGCTTTTTTCCGGCTTTTAAAAAAGCCGGAAAAGAGCGTCTACACTGGCCCCGATCCTCCGGAAAAAGTGCCCTTTTCCGGAGGCTCTTATTCCTACCAGACGCTCTTTTCCGAAGTAGGAATAAGAGCCTCCGGAAAAGGGCGCTTTTTCCGGAGGATCGGGGCCAGTGTAGACACTCTTTTCCGGCTTTTTTAAAAGCCGGAAAAAAGCGGCGGACATTTTTATTTAAATGCCGCGGGGGATATTTAAATCCCCCGCGGATTTCCCTACGACGACTGGTGAAATTTACATGCCCCTTCCGGAAAAGGGGCCAGTGTAGACGTAGCCTAACACTATTTGCATGATCAGTGAATTATTTTATTTGGTTTCTCTGTTACTGACAGATATATTTTTATAGAAACTAATAAAACAGAACCAGATGACTTACTGCATGGAAAGCTGCCTTCAGGTTCTGCGGTGAAGTATGTCTATTATACCTCACTAAGCTCTGTGGGCTACATTCACAAAGGGCTTAGGCACATAACTGCCCTCTTAGGTGCCTAAGTCCAAAAAATAGGCACTACTAACATTCAAAAATCCATTGCTCTGATGCTACCTAATTTTGTAGGCACCCAAATCCTCATATATAACTACGTTTTCACTAGTAAGCCTGCCTAAAGCTGCTGAAATCCTAAGAATAGTCCTTTTTGCAGCTCTGGGACATGCCTAAGAGCCATCAGGATTGTCAGACTAAGTGTCTGACAATCTTGTCTGTGGGGCCTAATCCAGTAGATATATTCTGAACATGCCTACCTTTTCAAAAAGACAACTGGGAGCAAGCCAGTCTGGAATTTTTGATGCCGGTCCATGGATGTGTCCCAGACTATCCAGTAGCCTCCGTGATTAGGGCAATCATCTGGGACATAATAGTCATATGTTTGAATTTCCACTGTGCCTACAATTCTCGGGCCCTAAATCCCCAGAAAGCAACAGTGTCCAGATATGCTTTTTCTCATTTATGATTAGCCAAGAAATTAGATGTTTTCCGCAGACCTTACCACTATAACCCATGCTCTTTAGATACTAGCTGAGGCTAAATCTAGACTGTAGGCTTCTTTTTCAAGAAGCTTTTCCAAAAAAACTTCTTGTGAAAGAGCGCATCCACACACACAAGCGCATCAAAAAAGCAATGCGCTTTTGTGAAAGAGAGCGTCCAGACTGATTGGCCACCCGGAACCACTTCAGACAGGTATTTAAGTCACCAGTTGCTTCCGAGTGCTGGTGCCGGAGCCTTCAGAGACACGTGCTTAAAGGGACCTCCCTAGACAGCCGTTTCTCTGCTTCTGCTGCCTGCTTGCTACCTCTTTGAGGGACAGCAAAACTTTAGCAGTGGCTGCTGTGGTTGTCCTCTTCTTTTCCTTTGTGTCATGGAGTACCCTTGGGCATGTGATACCTTCCTGGTCCTGCAGAACCCCAAGCTCATTCTGGGGACCTTCTCTGTGGCTGCGGCTGCTCCACTCTGGCAACCGCACCCTGCTGTGGAGAGGCATTTTTGGAGGCTTGACACCAGTTCCAACTGGTGGGACCAGCTGGTCCTGGAGTGGTGGGATGACCAACAGTGACTCCAAAACTTCTGCATGCAGAAGGCCACCTTTTTGGAGCTATGTGCCTGGCTCACCCCTGCCCTGCAGAGATGTGACACCCATCTGCAGCCTGCCATTACCCTGGAGAAGTGGGTCGTCATCGCAGTCTGGAAGCTCACCACCGACCACAGCTATTGGGTTGGTGGGCAACCAGTTCAGTGTGGGGAAGTCCATCATCAGGGCCCTCCTCATGCAGGTAAGGCACTCTTGGGCTATAGGCCCTGTGGGGGAGGAGGGGAGAGTGTTGCATAAGAGGGACTGGGGGCTGTGGGGTGTAGAGTGGGGTTGGGGGGAAGCCCCATCTCTGGGGGCTTGTGCCGTCCTGCCCTCACATAGCCCTGGTGCTGGGGGGTTACCTTATAGGAGGTGGCTCCTGGGGTGTTTGAGGAAGGAGAGGAGAGGAGAGGAGAGGAGAGGGCAGAGCTCAGGCACCCCCTCTCTCATTCTCTGTTTTATGAGTTTCTTTGTCTCTTTTTGCAGGTGGTGAGGGCCGTCAACTTTCTCCTCCTGCAGAGGGTCATCCGCCTGGGAGACCTGTATGTGACCGTGGCTGGATTTGCTGTCCTGGGGTTCCCAAACTGTGGGGGAGTGATCAATGGGACCCGCATCCCCTTCTGGGCACCAGACCATCAAGCAGCCCAGTATATTAATCAAAAGGGCTACTTCTCCATGTTGGTGTAGGCTCTGGTCGGCCACTGGGGACACTTCATAGACATTTTTGTCAGGTGGTCAGGCAGTGCACATGATGCCTGAGTCTTCAGGAACTTTAGCCTGTGCAGGAAGCTGGAGGCGGGCACATTTTTCACCCGCTGTGACTTATCCTCCTGCAGAGGGTCATCCGCCTGGGAGACCTGTATGTGACCGTGGCTGGATTTGCTGTCCTGGGGTTCCCAAACTGTGGGGGAGTGATCAATGGGACCCGCATCCCCTTCTGGGCACCAGACCATCAAGCAGCCCAGTATATTAATCAAAAGGGCTACTTCTCCATGTTGGTGTAGGCTCTGGTCGGCCACTGGGGACACTTCATAGACATTTTTGTCAGGTGGTCAGGCAGTGCACATGATGCCTGAGTCTTCAGGAACTTTAGCCTGTGCAGGAAGCTGGAGGCGGGCACATTTTTCACCCGCTGTGACTTAGCAGTTGGAGACGTGCAGATGCCATTGTGCATCATGGGAGACGTGGCCTACCCCCTCATGCCATGGCTGATGAAGCCTTATACCCACCACCTGGATCCCAGCAGGGACAAATTTAATGCCCACCTGAACCGGGCCAGGATCCAGGTGGAGTGCACCTTAGGCCTCCGCAAGGCACATTTCTGGTGCCTCTTCAGCCCCCCTCAACGTGAGGGAGCACAACATCCCCAAGTTGATGGCGGCATGTTGTGTCCTCCACTACATTGTGGAGAGGAAGAGGGAGGCCTTCCTCCTGGGCACACACTGGTCTTGAGAGGGGAACCTTCCAGCAGCCATGGACAGCTGCCATTCACCAGGCTGATTAGGCCGGGTTGCGCATCTGGGAGGCCCTGAGGGAGAGATTCTCTCAAGGACCCCAGTAACTCTCCCCAGAGCCTCTTCCCCAGGGACCTCTGCCTATGTCTTCCCACCACAGACCCTCCCTTCGCCCTTTCTCTGACCTCCCAATAAACACACCAGTTTGGTTTAAAACAAAATGCAGTCTCTGTTGATTAAAGATTCAGAAAAGGTGTGCCACCTCAGTGCAGGGACCTCCACAGAGTTGGGTGGGTCCGAGGAGCACAAGGGTTGGAGGGGGGAGGGGCGGGGGCTGGAGCAGGGTCAGGGTTGGGGCAGAGGGAAGGGCTATAGGCATCACTTGAGGCGGAGGCATGGGCATTGCTAGGGGACAGGGCATGGACATCATTTAGGGAGGGAGTAGAGGAATGGCGGGGGCCAGGTGGAGGGGAAATTGGCATAGCATGGGGGCAGGAGGCTGGAAAC